CGAGTCCAGAAGAGAATCAGGATCCCGGACTCAGGATCCGGGTCCGGGTCATAAAACGTTACAGATAATGCATATTTATACACTTAGATTGAATAAGAAACAGCATCGAAGTCTGTGACAGTGATATTTATTTAAGGCAAGCAACAGGAAAAAACATTTGAAATGACAATGATAGCTAGAACGACCGTAATATTGACCAAAAGGTATCAACCAATAAAATTTACACCGACAAAATGATTCTTCGTAGGATATTTGGTGAATATCCTAACACCAACTTGCTCACAATCAAATCCTTCACCCCTCTTAATAACTCTCTCGTCTCCACAACTAACCCTTCCCGTATACCTTTATCACCACCTACCGCTAATGCTAACAATTCGAGTACATGAAATATTATTCCTGGTCTCCTGAAGCCCCACTCTAAACAAAATGTTGAAACTATTAGTTTCTGCATCTTTTGCCAGAAGGGAAATAGGCTTCTTAAACTAGGACTTTAGAATCTCGGTCCATTGATGTATACTGTGTCTCCGAAAGGCATATACAGGATTTCAGTATTAGTCATTCATTTGACCATACCTTGTCAAAATGAAGAACCGTCATAATAAATCCTTCGTTTATATGTAGACTCCGCTGCTACTATCCCTGGCCTCGCTGGTGTAGGCAACCTAAAGCGAAGGAGAGAAGTAGTATCTGATGGATTATCACCGAGATTTTTCAGGATGATGGTCCGGTTTTAGCAGTTACATTAACTGAGATCTTAGCTAGAATCTGGGGATTGAGAGCGATCACATCTGACTGGTCTCAACCACTGACTGTCTCAGTCTATAAGGAAGAAAAAAAATACCTCTTGTGACAAACACAGAGGAATCAGTTTAACAAATATAGTGCTTAAAATACTAGCTTCAGTAGTACTTCAACGCCTAACTCGAACTCTTGAAGAGCACACTCGGGAAAACCAGGCTGGTTTCAGACCTGGACATGGATGTATAGACCAAATTTTTACACTTCGTCAGGTTCTAGAACACAGACACACATTTTGATGTGGCGTTTGACTCCGCTGATTGTGAGGTTCTGTAATAGTGTCTGTCAATGAAAGGTGCACCAAAGAAGTACATTAAACCCTTGTACAGATTCTCTACTCCAGCACTACTGGCTGAGTCAGAGCTTATAGCGAACTGCCACCTCAGTTGATTGCTTCAACTGATGTTCGTCAGGGTTGTTTACTTTCACCCCTTATTTAACCTTGTCATGACATTCTTTTAGAAACGAAACTTTCATCGTCTGACTTTTCAGGACTTAAACTTTTACCAGGAAATTCACTTATTGACTTGGAATATGCAGATGAAATAATTCTGTTTAGTGACGATGCTGAGAAAAAGGCAGAGTCTTCTGACCATCTTAAGCAACAATGCAAGCATGTTCGGGATGCGGTTCTCAACCTCGCAATGCAAAATATTGCTTCAAGATTGGCTTGCGTCAGCACCTGAACTAGTGGTAGGGAGTAAAGCAGTTGAGTGTGTCGACCCCGTCACCCATCTGGGGAGTCTCATCAGTGCTGATGGACTAGTGTCTGATGAAATCTCGGCACGGATATAGAAGGCTCAACTGGCTTTTGTCAACTTGTGTCACTTATGGCGTAGGCGAGATATCCGTTTACTAAGCAAAGGACAAGTCTACTGCGCAGCAGTTCGTTCCGTCCTATCATACGGATGAAATATACCCATTAAGAATAGATATTCGTAGGCTACTAATATTTGATCATAGGTGTCTCCGAAGCATTGCTCTTGTATCCTGGAACCATCGAGTAAGCAATGCTGGAGTTAGGGAAAGGGCGCTGGGTAAGAATGGTAAAACAGATGATTAAGTAGTGAACCTTTATCACTTGAAGTGGTTGGGATATGAGTTACGTAAGCCTAACCACCGACTACCTTGACGAGCGATGTTATGTGATGTAGGGGGTAGGCTGGATTTAAGCTAGGAATGGCCAAACCAAAACATGGTATAAATCTATGAAGTCACTGGAAACTGAACTGAGTCATGTTAGCAGGTGTAGACGACCTGGTTGGAGTCAACGAGATAATCGTAGCCTGTAATTAGAGACTTGGCTTGAAATCGTTTGCAATGGCGCAGGTGCATCCATTCTTTGTGTTCTCTTAAATTCTAACCTTCCGAATTCCTCATCTATCTTCACATTAGATTATACTTCTTGAATAATATCTTCGAACCCTAATCTCTCTGATTACTGCTAATATCTTTACTACCTCTACTACTATTGGATTTGAATTGATAATTACATCTCTGTGCTAATGTGATATGGCAACCTGAACTTATGTACGTACGTACGAAGTTCTACATTGTAACGGACTTTCAGTAGACATGAAGCATAAAAAAAATAAAATGACCATAAAACAGTAGAAACTTACAAAATTTTCACCACCACGAGCTGGTAATAACTTTCCTGGCCCATTGTTTGTGGTTGAAGAAACCATACTGAAAAAATTCGAAACACGACGACCTAATCCAGATAATAAACCTTGTGAACGTGAATTTCCATCATTTGTATTAGTAAGTAAACGAGTAGTCACATTGTCCTATACAAAATGGAGAGAAGGCAAGAAGCGAGATTTGTGTGAAACGAATAACTAAATTTTCATTTTTAAGAGGTCGAAGACGATAGATAGATTAATGGTGCCAGTTAAAATGAATCAATCAAGATGCTTTTTTTATTACAGTCGATAGCTATGTGAAGATATTCTTGTTTAGTTTTATGCATTGTGTATGAGGATTAATAAAACTGTAAAGTCTGTAAAATCGAGTTCAGACTGTTCGAGTATAAGAAAGTAGCAATAGAAACTAGTCATTCATAATCAGCATGGAACCTGGTGTAGTGAACGAGAACACAGGTGAGGGCAACCGGATTGTATTTAACGAAAATTACAGAGTTACTCAGTAAAATAGGAAAACCATGTCGTAAACCGTTAATTTGCAAAATATCAGTTCATCATATCGAACTGGACTGTTCCTGTTGCAAAACATCAATCCATTGTCACTATTCATGTGTTTCATACAAATTCCATTGTGTTCTAACTCTTCTTTTCTTGATCTTCCCCCATCTTCTGCTGCCAGACATTACGTTGACACTCACGTCATATACTACTTATAAGTAGCTCGCACCACACTGGTTCAAGTTGCCGTACTAAATTAGTAAAACGAGATTAAATCAACAAGATGAATATGATAAATAAGCTGAAACAATATCACTTGAAATGATAATGAAAGAAGACTAAATACTGAGGATATGAAAATGTGTGAGGCAATGCTAGGACTCAGGATTTCGAAGAATAAGATGACTTGTGCAATGGTGGCCGAGTGGTTAGGGTGCTCGCCTTCCGGGCATTTAGTTCCAGATTAGAAGCTCATCCAATCTATTGCAGTTTGGACAACTGGATAGTAGTATCATTAGCCTTTACACTTCGAATGTGGTTCACACACACACACACACACAAATATCTGATCAAAGAATTGATCTAATCTTTAATTAGAGGAAGGTGAAGAAAGTATCAAGCAAGCATACAACCTTGAGACAATATTTCAACTATTTGTGATCGATGATCTAAACAGAATGGTACGAAAAAAAAACAATCCAATTTACAGAATCAACTCGCAGAAAATATTCAATTTTTAACCAATTATCAGTTTACATAGTGTGGTGTGAGCTACTTATAAGTAGCATATGACGTGAGTGTCAACGTAATGTCTGGCAGTAGAAGATGGGGGAACATCAAGAAAGGAAGAGTTAGAACACAATGGAATTTGTATGAAACGCATGAATAAGTGAAATGTCAGACAATGGATTGATGATGGATTGAAGATTTGCAAATTAACCGTTTACGATATGGTTTTCCTAATTTACTGAGTAACTCTGTAATTTTCGTTAAATACAATCCGGTTGGCCCACCTGTGTTCTCGTTCACTACAATAGTTCATGAGAAGAATGGATACTGAAGAACTGAAGTACCCAGGAAACAAAGCACACACGTACTCCCATTAACCGCAGCTATACTAAATAAATAAAGAGTTCTAACTAAAACTGTTAAACATCCTTCAAAAATAATAAATATCGTAGTGGAAATTCAATTTGAAATGGTTCGAAATATCCCTGTTAGTGGGACATAGATGGAATTAAAGCACGACTACGTCGCTACGCGCTGATTGGCTAATTTCCTATCCAATCAGCGCCTGATCGAAGCTTGGAGAACAGGATAGAAAATTCTCGTATCACTAGCTGCATGCTGATTGGTTAAATCTAATCCAGCCGATCACGTGAATTTTCCTCCAGAAGCTTTCTCATGTGAAGGCTATAAATAGACTGGCGTTGTATTTAATTCTGCCTTCTTTGCCTTGGCTTTCGCCATCACCTCCGGCTTCTTATTCCTTACTATTTTGGAATATAATCTTTCCTGTTCAACCGTGTTTTGATTCTTGGGAACTTGTCCACTGTTTTGTGTCAGTGAATACTAAGCAATAAGATTTAGTCGGGAATTAACTAAGCAAGCGTTACAACAATCCCATTGTTGATAATATTGATTGCAATTTGATCAATCTTGGTTGGCATATAGCAGGCATCTTATGGGAATTGCTTCGATATTAGGCTATTATAACACAAATGGATAGAATGGTTGCGGCTAGTAGTGCAGCAATCCAGGACGCACATTTCATCTTATTCCATAAAAATTTGTGATGGTAAACTTGAACGCTAAAATTACGTAGGCTATACCTGATACGAGAATACTTTTAGCGGAAAAACAACGGTGATTATCTAATGAGATAAAACAATGACAGTTTCGTAGTCAACTTTAAAATTTAACTTAGTGTTTTTTGTTGTAGTTGGAAAAATTCACAAAAATACAACTAGTAAAGGATGAAATTCACTTTTAGAAAGAAGTATCTGTAAGCATCTAGAATGGATTTCAATAGTGTCTGTTGCGTAATCAACCAATCAATCAATGAATATAACAATTTTTGAGACTCACATGTGCATTACGTGTATCAATGAGTACCAAATGACCAGTTCGAGTAGCGACAATAAATGCACCAGCCTTTATAGAATAGAAATAAAATATTATTTTAAAAGTTAGTTGCATTAACATTTTGATAAGATAAATTAAATACATGAATAAATGTGAATTTTTCAATCTTGGTAAGAGAATAGCTAAAAGCTGGGAGTATCATATGAGTGATCTAATGAAGGTTCGCTTGTCAGTCAGTTAAAACGTAGAACTGTGTACATGAGTACTTAAGTTCAGGTTGCCATACCAGATAAACACAGAGACGCAATTGTCAGTTCTAATCCTATAATGGTAGAGACAGTAGGACTATCAGCGGTAATAGAGAAGATTGGGGTTTGAAGATACTATTCAACATGTATGATTCAGTTAAATAAATTTAGAAAGAGAAAAACAGAGATGATGAGGAATTCCGAAGGTTAGAATTTGAGAAAACACAAAGAATGGATGCACCTGCGCCATTGCAAACGATTTTGAGTCATGTCATTCAAGGTCTCTAACCATCAATTACTATCATCTCGTGGACCCCAACCGGGTAGTCTACATCTACCAACATGACTCGGTCCACTTGTGAGTGAATTCATGGATTTCTGCCATGTTTTGCTCTGGCTGCCCCTAGCTTTCGTCCAATCTACTCCTACACTACAAAATAAAGCTCGACGAGGCAGTCGGTGGTTAGGCATACGCAAAACATGTCCCAACCACCTCAACTGATGAAGTTTCAATACTGCATCTATTAATCTGCCATCCTTAACTATTACGCGTTTCCTAACTATAGCATTGCTTACTCGGTTATCCTAGGATATACGAGCAACGCTTCGAAG